CCCTACACGCCACAATTAACCTAGGCCACCCAGTTTCTGACTTTCTGACTAAAGGAATGCAAAATTGGCGGAAGCGTGGCGCACGCTTTGCGAAGTGCGGGGCTCGGCTAGGAGCATGCGGGCATTTGCCACGGTTTGGCTTAGGTAAAAAGTCATCCTGACTCAGGCTCCTCTTCTGAAACGGGTCCCCTGCAAATTTCCTGTTCGCGAACAGTTACTTAGACCAAGTCCCATACAGGGTTTAGACACGAACCTAAAGCCCCTAAACCGTAAACCCTAAACCCACTAAACTCGAAGCTCTAAACTCCGTAACCCTATACCCCAAACTCCCAAAACCCTAAAACTCACACTCCAGATCCTAAACCCAAGGGCTTACAGGATGGGTTTAAAGGCTTTGTCGAGCGCTTTGCCTCCCAACAGTAGGGATTAGGGTTTATGCAGGGTTTAGGGTTGAGCGTCGCTGCCCTTCCTCAGCAACTACTATTATGATTTATTATGATTATTGTCAGTCTTGTTATTATTTTCTTGTAAGTTCTATTCTGTTTAATATTTTTATCACTAGTACCAGTTGTATTGCGAAGATGGAAGGATTGTATGGTGTTTCTGTGATAATGTAGAATCTAGAGGAGATGAATCATCCATTGTAGAAGACATTATGGGCGTGCTGTCGTATTACCACTAGTAACCACCATTTTTGTAAGTGTGCAGGGCTTAGGGCTTCTCACTGTCTCCTCCTGCATTGCTTGCCCATGTGCTTATCCTGAATGTCTGCAACCGTTCCAGTATCTCTCAATGTCAAAAGTGCTGTAGAGGTCTTCCGCTGTGCCATGCACAGCACACGTCTGCTTGGTATCAGCGCCTCGTTCATCCTTTTCCTTGCGGTCTGTGCGTCGATATCCACGGAGTCCAGGCCTTGTGAGGAAGGAGAGGGCGAGTGCCAAGACGCAACAGGCCTTGTCCAGAAGTGGCTCAAGTCCACCAAAGACCTCACCGTTCCTAAGAATGCATTCAGGAACGGATCTTTTTTGTGTGAGAGCCGCAGAATCATAGTGGTTCAAAGGCTAGTCATGGCTTCCAGAACCTTATAGCCTAGGGGTGAAGGCCTACAAAAAAAAGACATCTGGCCCTAACGTTTGCATCCCTCTTTGGGTTATCTAGGGTTTAGGGTTTGGGGCAAAAATCAGGAAGAGAGCGCTCGCCTTTCCGCGCCGTCTGCTTCCTCCGCAAGCTCCTCCCAGTTCCTGCAGTCTCCTTAGGACTCATTTTTAAAACTTCCATTACAATACAACCCTAAAGAAAATCAAAATATGATGCGTGTTAGAATATGTCCCCAAGGATTTTTTTGAATAGTTGTTTTATTATAGCCCTAAACCCTAAACCCTAATGAGACTAGAGGTTCAATGCCTTTCCTCAGGGGGTAGCTGCGGGAGATGCTACTCGTACTAGCGCCGTCCTCTGGGCTCGGGCCTCCTACCAGTGGTTAGTAGGGTTTAGGGCTTAGGGTTTAGGGTTTTAGGGTTTAGGGTTTAGGGCTTAGGGTTTAGGGTAGTATCTATAAGCCCTAAACCCAACAGGGAAATACTAAACAGGTTATTAAAGGGGATGCTGGGAGTTTAGACTATAGCTCAAATGGGGTAGAGTGAGTTGTGTTTTATTTGGGGATCTATGAACCCTAAAACCCAACTAATAGCCCAAAACCGCTAGAATTAGCCCAAACGGCCGTTGTTCTACATACTTTTGCGGTTCAGGTACACCCTAAGACCCCCTAAACTGACCCAAGATCCGGTTAGTTGGAAATGGGTGACTTGATTCTGTGGCGTGTTCTCAGGAGTGCAGTGGAGACGGCTTCCCTCATCCCGCCCCCAACCTTAAACCCGAAACCCTAAACCCTTACAACCCCAAAGCTCGAAGTCCCAAACCTCAGCCCTGAACTAGACAAACCTCGAGCATCCAAATCGCCCGAAGCAGGTAGTATGTTTCTATTCCCCCTTAAGTAGATAGAATATGGTTTTGGGTATGTTATAATAAGACCCCCATATACCCCATAGTCTATCTACTTAAGGGGGCCTATAACCCTAAATCCTAAACTCTACACCCTAAATAGTAGTTTCCATGTTCTTTTCCATTATCCCTATATAACCCCTATATAACCCCCATCTAATCCTATATATCCCTGTAAAGGGACCTATCTACTTAAGGGGGACTATACCCTAAACCCTAATCCCTAAACCCGAAACCCCCTATTCTATCTACTTAAGGGGGACTGTAGACTCTAGGCCCCTAAGTCGATGTGATGTGTAGACTTAGATGTTCAAGGTAAGCTAACCTGTACATGTAGTACCTTGTATAATTAGGGATTATAGGGGTTATATTGGGATAATGGAAAAGAAAATGGAAACTACTATTTAGGGTTATATTGGGGTTGTATCAGGATTCTGTAGTACCTAAACCCCAAAAGTATGTAAAATAATTGCCTTTAGCGCTATTATTATGGGTTTAGGGCCATTATTTCACATATTTTTGTGGGGCGTAGGTACATGTGGTAGTTTCCATCTTCTTTCCTTCCAGTCCCTCGGAGTAAGATCCTCGTGGCCCAAGAGCATGAGTAAGGTGTTGGCCGTCGGCTGGGTCGGCTTCTACGTGAAGGAGGCGGATGCCACGTGGCAAGCGTCCGACTATCGGCGAGATTGGGTCCAAGATGTGGCAAAGCCGGCGAAGGTAAAAATCTCAGGTTTAAAGCCTGGGACCAAGTATGACTACTGGGTGGAGTACGCCTGGGGCAGCAAATCAGGACTCAAAGTTCCTGGTGTTGGGTTTAGGGTTTAGGTTCTTAATTGCTGCTGATGACCGTCCTATAAGAACCCGGCGAAGCAATAAGTTCTAGAAGAGGTTCCTTGGTAGCAGTTGCGGTTGGGGTTCTGACCCAAAAGGGCCTTACTTCAGGGGTGTGCATCAATGGTTGCATACTACGCAATATCAAAACCCCAATTCTTCATACTAGTATCAAGCAGTCCCTGCCCCTAATGTCAAACATGTACAATCAAACAACATGGGGGTGTTTCACATTCGCATGTGGGGATTCCTTCACCCCCTCAACACTAATCCTGAGATCCTGAGCCCTCAGCCCTAAACCCTCATCCCTAAACTCATTTGTGCCTGTCCTAAACAATAGAAAGTGTCATTCTATGATGTGTCTGGCGCAGGAAGCTTCACCACCGCTGGTGCCATTCCCGGAAAGCCTCTGCGCTTTGGGGCGGCAGGGGACTGGCGTGGAGTTTTTCGACCTTATGTCTCCATTAGGCCGGAGGTTTAGTTGAGGGAGTTTTCAGCTGGGTTTACCCTAAACCCTAGAACCGCGTATGTTGGGACACTAGGGCTATGAGGGGCTGAGATGGGGGAACCTACCCTCAAAGACTTTTACTGTAGTTTGCACTCTTAATGTTTGTAACCTTAGGTTTGTGGTCCCAACATACCCTTATTATTCCATGGTTTAGGGATCCAAACCCAAGGGTACAAACCCTAAGGGTACAAAGGAAAAATCGTTGATACCCACCTGAGACTTCCTTAGATTTAGGGCTGCTTCGCAAATAGGGATTTGCCGGCATGCTCCAAGCAAACCAGTATACCACAAGGTAGGGCAACCCCCAGCTATAAGCAGTTGCTGCCCTACAGGCTCTTCTATCTAATTATGAAAACGGTTATAAATAACACCACTGTTTCGCAGTATGCCTACCTAGTTGCATCACATGCGTTTGAATTGTTTTGGGTCTGAGGGGGCCACAGCAGGAACGTTGTCTCTCGGGATTTGCGTTTTTTCATCGAGCTGGGCGATACTGTCTATGCGGATTATGCTGAGGGTGAAACGAACTTCACAGCCGAGACGCTGGAAGAGTTCCGGCAAAAACACATTGAGGTTGGCTTCTGGAAACACATTTCTGGGTCCCGTTCTGCACCCATGTACCTTCAAAAAGTGTCTTGTGCCTACATGTTGTATTCTTGACCCGGCGGACTGCCCATATACCTGCTTCTGGAGTTTAGAGGAGTATTTTACCCTTCCGGATAGAGGTCCTGAACCCTAAGCCGTTCCGTGACCAGGTGTACTCGGAGAAATTTGGAGAAAACTACTGGGCGGATGTTCGATCCAACACGAACCTGGATCAATGTTAGGAATCTTTCATGATTCTTTTTAGGGATGTTCCCTTCCCAGGCCCAAAGCTCAGCGCCGATAGGGGCGTCCACTACTACCACCTGTTTCCACCCCACGAAAGTGGAGTGTTACCAAAACCGCACTTGCGGGAAGTGGCCTCTTCTCTTTTCGCAAACACTCTCAAGTGGCTCCAGACACACCACCAGGTGGCTCCCGTAGAGGCAGAGCAGCTTTACAGTCTTCGCCCGACCTTTTCAAACAAGACCATGTCCTTGTCTGTGCGTCCTTCTTTGTTGAGACCAGACTCTGTCGCCGCAGCCTTGCGCACTCACA